CGAGAAGATACCGATCAGCACCAGGGTCTTCCTTTTGAACGCAGGGAGCCGAACAACCTCCTCGTAGGAAACAACATCCAACTGGTCAAAAACTATAGACAAAGAAAACCAAGTAACGTTCATTTCCATGTCAGGCGATTTCAGTTTCTGTGATTCTCTCCTGTTCCTGTCCTTATCTAGAGTGGGATGGAGGCATTTAATAAGTGGTAGATTATTATTCATTTATCTACATTCTGCTTGGAAATCCATCTAGAATTTTAGTATATTATATTTCCAACCACCGTAGGTTAAAAAACAAAGCCAGAATTAGTTCCTGGGAAAACATGCTATGCTCTGGGGTTGTTCAGGCCTTCCAGCTGGTCATGCTGATGGTAGCGGCACACTGAGAAAGGTCTGGAAGGCTGTTCAGTTGGTGACCTGAGGGGGTGAGGGTGACAAGTAGGTGTGAACAGACTAGCCTTCCCTTACATGTACTGTCTTGTCTCACTGACTGTGGCCAGCTTGGGAAGATGAATGTAATGAAAGAAAAGCAGGAGAAACAGGATGCTGTCTGCATAATGTGCGCTGCACTGAGCACCACACTGTCTCTTGGTCAGGAGCCCGCCGGGAGGGGCCCCAGGAAGCCCAAGGATGCTCACTTGCGCTGTGCTTGGCCAGGTACTTGTCTTTGTACTTCTTCTTCTTCCCGAAGGGACTGCAGCTTGGAGCTTCGCTCGGAGCAGACTGAGCCACACTTGCCACCCTCCTAATAGGAAAAGATGACCAAGGATGTCAGCGGACTCGCAGTGGAAAAGCCCCAGGGTCATTCACCTGTGTTGTGACAGAGCTCAGTGACCCCCTTTCCCTTCTATGCAAAACCTCCAGACTGATCTGCCTCCTTCCCTTTGCACTTGCCAAAAGAACTTCATGGTGTCCTTGATCCCTCTCCTCTCACACCCTCTGCCAGCCACTCATTCTCTGTGTGTCCCTAACACTGCCGCCTTCATGCTCATCCTCTCTCTCAGCCCCTCACTTTCTGTCTCTCTCTGAGACCCCCCTTGGTATCTCAGCCTGTCTCTCTCCCCCCTTCCCTTACTCCCCATCTCTCTGTCTCTCATAATCTAACCTCTCTCATCTTCAAGCTCATATCCCTGCTCTTTGTAAGCCTCTCGCTCTGTGTCCCTGCCAGCCTCAACCTCCCTGTATCTCTCTCTCTCCCTCCAACCCCCCATTCCCCTCCTCTCAGTTTCTCTCTTGCATGTAGAAGGCCCTGGGTTTGTGGTGAGCAGGGTTTAGACCGGTATGGAGGAAGTGAGGAAAGAATCATGCGAGCCAGTGTGTTCGCTGTATTCTCGGTGCTGCACTTGAGTTGGGCTGCCTAGAGCTGACGGCTCCGCAAAGAGAGAGGTGGAAAGAGCCCAGCCCGCAACAGTCAGGCTGCATTGATGGGAGGATGTGGTGGGGGTTCGCTTCCTCCTGGACACATTTCCACTGCCTGGTATTTGAACACCCACCTAAGAATCTTCCAGAGAGGGGAGGGAGGTGGGTGAGCCCTGAGAAGCCATCCCTGCATGAGTCTAGATATCAGCTGGCAGAGGGCCTTAGGCCTGGCACCCGTCTCTCTGAGCTCGTTTATGATAAAGGTGACACTGCAGTACAGTGGAAAAAGTGTGGGCTCTGTAATAAGTAGTGCTGGATCAACCAGATAAGTATATGGGATGAATGCTGATTCTCACCTCATTTTCTATGTACTGGGACTTTGCATAAAGGACACACGTTTAAAATTTGATTATTTTCTGCAGGACTCAGAAAATATCTTCTTAGAAAGGCACTAGCCTGGGAGGCAGGAGGCCAGGGAGGGCTCCAGCTCCAGTGCTGCCACTTCCTTTGTAAGCATAGGGAGAGCATTTGGGGAAACAGAGGCCCATGGACAAATGAGCTATTCGGGCTCCCTTTCCTGTGAAGGCCTGCCAGTTAGACTCATTTACTCATTGTTACCCCTGCCCTTACCCAATATGCCAGGGAAGCTGGGAGGCTGGCTTGGTTGAGAAACAGAAACTACACACAAGACGTCGGGTTTTGGAACTAAATCATTATTGGTGGCAGGCTTGGGGCCATTCTATCTGCAAGTTCCTCCTTTATAAAAGCAGCTCACCATTCCTGCAGCTCAGGAGAAGGGATCAATCCTGCCGACTCCTTGGAGGAACCTTCCACCCGCCCTTGCCACCAGTTACTGTCATCCTTGTTGATGATCTGGATAATGTCCCCAGTAACAAACTTCAGTCCCGCCTCCTTACAAGGAATCAGGTTGTCCTTTTTGGGATCATAGTCAAACTGTGCTCTCATGAACATCTGAAAAAGAAGGCAAGGGGAACTGTAGTGGCAGCTTCGAGAAAAACATCAGCATCAGCACATTAAAGTAGAAAGTTCTGCTGTAAATAAGTAGGATGAGGACTGAATGAATAACACAGAGGCAAGAATGGAGGGGGAGCTGAAGTGACTGGAACTGGTTGCTCTTGTGTTTATGGAGGGGTCACACCTGAGCCCTCCAAAAAGAAGGTGTGAACTGCCTTTCTGGGCCAACATGTTTGTGATTATTGGGTCTGAGCTGATACCCCCTTGATCTCACAATTCACTTCAATGCAAAAGATGTCAGTTATAATATATGGATAAGTATGTTCACCACAATTTATTGATAAGAATGAATGATTGGAAACAACCTACTTTTCCAAGAATGGGGAATTTAGTTAAGTTATGGTCATCTATTGAATATATGACCATGCAGCTATAAAAATCAACTTGTAGAAGAATATTTAAAGCCCTTGCAAAATGCTGCTGATATAACATTAAATGAGAATATCAGTCAACAAAAACAATACACTTGACATTTGAAAAAAGTATTTATTTGCCCGGCAGGGCGTGACTCAGCGGTTGAGCATCGACCTAGGATCCAGGAGATTGAGGTTCGATTCCTGGTCAAGGCACATGCCCGGGCTTTGGGCTCGGTCCCCAATAGGGGGCGTGCAGGAGGCAGCCGGCCAATGACTCTCCTCATTGATGTTTCTATCTCTTTCTCCCTCTCCCTTTCTCTCTCTGAAATCGATAAAGATATATTTTAAAAAAAGAAAAGAAAAAAGTTTTTGTTTACACATAGGGAAAAAAGACTGGAAGAAACTATTTCAGAATTTAATATCAGTTACCTTGGGTAGGAAGATTAGGAGTGCAAATTCAACCCAAAGAAAGATGAAAAACAATAAAGAGCAAAAGCAAATCAAACAAAAAAGAGTTGAGAGGATCCATAAAGGCAAAAGTGGTTCTTTGAAGATTCATGAAATTAAGTACTCCCAGCAAGGCTAGTTAAACAAAGAGAGAAGATACAATTTCCCAGTAGAGATCCCAGAGATGTTTAAAAGGTTATAAGATTTTATGACAATTTCACACCAATACATTTGATAAATCACCAAAAAACACAATTTACCAAAATTGACACAATAAAAAAATGAAAATGTGAACACTAATATGCCTATTAAAGACCCTGGCCTGTTACTGCAGTATCTGTAACAGAAACTTCAGAGGTATTTTTAAAAACAAAACAAAACTCCTTCCACATTCACCTGCCAAGCCCCATCCAAGCTATTACTCCCTTTGATGGTAAGACTGGATATTTTTTCATATGTTTAATGCCATTTGTATTTTTTCTCCTATGTATGATCCCTTCATTCTCTTTGCCCATTTTCCTCTTGGGGTTGTAGAATAAGGAGGTTACCCCTTCCTTTCACATTCATTATAAACAGGCGGTGAAGTACTATGGTCAGAAAGAAGTCCTTCTGTTTGTAATGGCTGTTAGTTTAGTTCAGAGAGCACCAGGCAGCTATGTTTGTACGATATATAGAACTTAAAGTTAGAATCATATCTGGGCCTGAATTCCACCATCATCACAACAAAGCAAATGGTGCTACCTACCTGTAATGCAGGAAGACGATTTTGCTGGTTGGGAATTACTTTTAATGAGATCATGCCTTTGGTTTCTTTCTGTTAAAAAAGAAAGGGGAAATAAAATTTTAAGGAAAACTAACTTGGATGATTTGGGGTTTCATAAACTCATTTTCCCCTCTCCAAGTCCCATGTGTGTTTTTTCCCAATCACCATTTTTACTGTACACTTAGAAATTTTGTAGGACAACTCCTCCTTCAATACAAGTGCCATGTACCCCCATAAACTAGCCTAACAACATGGAGACATACAAAGAATAATGAAAGAAAAGCTAATGATTTCTGCCCCTCCACTCGACCACAAAAGGTCCCCATAAGTACCTAAAACGAATCTTGGCACACATACATCCACGACTTTCTCTACACCAATAAAAACATGTACAAATATTTACACTTATATATATATTCATATGTATGTATTTCTGTTGTTTTTAATGAAAATGGAATTGTATTATGTACATTATTCTATAACTTGCTTTACCTGATGGCCATGCTTTCAGGTCCCTGCATGAAGACTTCATTCTTTTTTTTTTTAAATTTATCTTTATTGTTGAAAGAATCATT